GTTGTGAGGTTTTACCCATAACAAAGGGTGTTCCACAAGGTTCAGTTCTTTTTATTGTTTATATTAATAATATTCTTTATGTATTTATTATTTAATTAAGTGCCATGTACATTTATACGCAGATGATACAATATTATGCTGTTTTGCAGATTCCTCCCAGCTAGCTGTGGAGAACCTACAACACTCTTTTAATGTTCATCAAAATGCACTCACTGATCTTAAACTTGTACTGAATGCACAGAAAACTCTGTTGCTCTCTAGAGTAAGAGATATTAATAAAAACGTCTGTATTTCCACTGAACAAGGATCCAACATTGAGAAAGTTTCCGAATATAAATACATCTGTATCTTGATAGATGACAAACTCACATTCAAACATCATATTAACAGTCTTGTCATGAAACTACAGCAAAAATTAGTTTTTTATGTTGTTTAGTTTGGCATTCAGTGAAATTTCTCTTCTCTTGCTCTTGATTCCACTCATGTCTGTATGCTAAATATGAAGCTACAGCCAAGAGCTTATCTTAGTTTAGCATAAAGACTGGGAACAAGGGGAAACGGCTAGCCCGGCTCCATCCAAAGGTAACAAAATCTACTTACCAGAAACTCTAAAGCTTGATCTCCACCAGGGTTATACAAATTGAATTGAATGCTGAGGTTGCAGCATGAGAAGAGCAAAGTGATATTTGGAGATAATCTGATCAGGATCACCTGTAGAGATGTTCTGGTAGCGTAATCTGGTTTCTGTTCCCGTGTGCTCCTCAGGGCGCAGGTGAGGGGTCTGCTGGCTGGTCTGACGAAGGAGAAGGGGAATGCTGCCATCGACTCGGCCTACAGCGCCTACACATCTCACTGGGGTTCGGCTCCTGAGCAGGCAGTGGTAAAGAAGACGGTGGCCGACATTGAGACCGACTTCCTGTTCCTGGTTCCCACTCAGATTGCCCTCCAGCTCCATGCCAACAACTCTAGGTCAGCTCTGATTGGTCCCGCTTTAAAGTCTCTGTTGTAGTTGGTGAAAGTTTTTAATTTTGTCCTCCTCTTAACTGCAGAGTAGGTTTTACAGTTTTATATCCTTTGGAGCAAAACATATAATATAACATTAGTTATCAGATATAACTAGCTCAATGAAGATGAATATAGATTCATTTAATTTACCCACCTAAGTAGTAACCATTGATGTAGACTAGTTAGATTATTAGAGTTATCTAGTGTAGCTAACTTAAGATGTGACAATATATGTATATATGTCTCTTTTCTGTTTTAACCATTTTCAAAATGTGGTTGTCTTTTCATTGATTAGCCTAGCACGTCGCATATCGAAGTACAGGAAAGGAGGAAGAGGAGGTTCTGGCGGAGGCTTGCTCTACTGCAATTGGAGCACAGAGCAAAAGGGGGCGGGGTTTAGGAAGGATAAATTATGACCTTAACGAAGTGACGTGGAATTAGAGATGTGGACTGACACTCTATAATGAGAATCACGTTGTTTCTGTTGTTTGTCCCTCAGTGGAGCCCGTACCTACTCCTACCTGTTCAACATGAAGACTCGTATCCCAGGATTCCCTCGCTGGGTGGAGGCGGAGCACGCTGAGGACCTGCAATATGTGTTCGGTAAACCCTTCGCTACCCCGCTGGTCTACTTCCCCCGACACAGAGACCTGTCCAGGTATATGATCGCATACTGGACCAACTTCGCCAAGACCGGGTAAACTCCCAGCATGCACTGCAAACACACAGGTCAACACAAAGGTAATAGACCTCAGTACGACCTGGTCTGTCTCTGACACACCAGACCAGTGAATACTGGTCTTTACTGGTTTTTACCAGTCCTCTGATTCAAGCTAGACTACTGTTTGTTTCTGTAAGTCTGTAAGAGAGTGTAAACTCTCACTCTCCTCCTGCCCAGTGATCCCAGTACAGGCGACAGCAGAGTCCCAGTTCCCTGGCCTGCCTTCACCAAATACCGACATCCCTACCTGACTATTAACCACAAGATCACCAAGTCCTCCGTCAGGTACTACACTACGACTGTACTCTACTGTACTTAGCTATGTTCTTCTTCTTGATGCTGCTGTAAATTATTATACTGAACTTTATTCTTTGTACCAGCTGACTGGAATCCATCTTCTATTTGATTCTGCTGTATTTTATTGTAATGAAAACATGGAAGATGAGATAAAGACAGATGATGTGTTGCTGTTTGAGGAGGTTTTGTACATTTTGACCGCAATTTGTCTGTTTGTCCTTTCAGCTACGACCTTAGATCAGACTATGTAACTTACTGGACCAAAACCTACAGCAGCCTGCCGACAATCAAGAGGGAAGAAGAGGAGGAATAAGATGGAGTGATGAAGAGGGAGGGGAGGAAAACTGATCCAACAGTCTAATTGAACCTGTTGAGAAGCTCCGTTCACACTGCTGCTGCTTTTTATTCTGAACATTTCGTCCCCTCAGTAGTAATTTCATATAATAATGATATATTCAAACATGTAAGCTGCATTATTAACAGCAGTAAGAGAACAGATTATAAGACATAAAGAAATAAAACATCAGTGAGGAATTAATGAATGTATTAGCATTAATCTGACCTGTTGTGTAATAAAGGAAACTGAACTCAGCGCTGTGTCTTTATTTCTGAACTGCTGTTCACTGTCTGTGTGTCCATCGTTGGAGACAGCAGCGTTTTCTGTCTCGCTGTGGTCGTTTATGCTTCACCACAAGAAACTTCTCCATTTTTAGGTGGTATGGTTCAAAGTTACGATCATGACCGCGACTAGTCCTCACAAGTCTCGCCACTTTTAGGAAATATCTGATCGATTGTTAGTAAGTATAAATGTATGATCTATCATTAAAAGTAAACCATTTTTAAAGTCATACATATTATATATATTTTTGAGTTTTCGTAATGAAATCTACTTCACTACGCTTAATGCCTGAGATTAATTTTCTTTAATGTTTTTATTTTTAATGGGTTTATTGAGTATTTTTAGCCCTTAACTGAATGAAAGTGTAAAAATTTTACAACCAGTTTTTAATCCAAATTATTATTACTATTATTATTCAAAGTATTTCCTTAAATTATTATTTTCAAATATTTTATTTAATCTCAAATTATAATTTTTTTAAATTCTGGTGCAGCAAACTTTTTTTTGTTCTTCTTCTGAGCAATATAAATTAATTTGTAGAACATTTTTAAAACAAATTAATTTCAATCGTAAAATATAATATCTGCAAAAGGTTGAACTTCTCGACAGTTCAACTCTTCATTTTACTTAAACTATGAACATTAAAGTTTAACGTTATTCACTCAGACTTAGCGCATCGCTGTAAACAAGAGAGACCAGATCATAAAGTCAGTACGGTCTGTTCCTCCATTATTTATATTACTTTAGTCTGTCAGGGTCCATCAGAACAAAGTGTTTCATTAAATTAATCCCAGCTGTGAATATTATCATGTGCAGTCTGTTGCTCGCTGTCTGTTTGCTGTCTGTTTACGGTCTGTTTACTGTCTGTTTACAGTCCGTTTACGGTCTGTTTACTGTCTGTTTACAGTCCGTTTACTGTCTGTTTACTGTCTGTTTACAGTCCATTTAATGTCGGTTTACTGTCTGTTTACAGTCGGTTTACTGTCTGTTTACTGTCTGTACACCGGCTGCCGTAAATCTTCAACTGCCGTAAAACCACGTTCACATTCA